TCGTTATACGCCGTTCAAGAACTTTTCCGTGAATAACAAGGTGAGGCGATTCAACTAGTTATTTAGTATGACTATATCAGAAATGTCAATTATGTGTTAAATTTAACAATTTAAAAAATCAGTGATTGCGTTACAATATTTTTAAGCCATAATAAAGTTGGAGTTAGGATATTTTTAGGTAGTTGATCAGGAAGGCAAAGAGCGCTATAGAAAATTTTTGGAAGAAGCAGGCATTTTCAAAGCGCAAAAACCTTTATCTTGGAGAAAGAAGTATTTTATAAATGAGAATTAATTAGCAGCTTGTTTTAACGTTTATTTAGAATTTATTCGTGAAATAGCAAAGTATTTTTTGGGTATGTTACTGAATGATAGCTTTAACCTTAAGGAAGGAGTTTTGTGGAAATTTAAGGAAGGAGTTTTGTGGAAAGAAAAATTACATTGAACTTCTACATCGAGCACAATATGCTTTAAGTTCTGCTTCAAAAGATTGTGCCTTGTCGCAAAGTTCTTCTCAAGAAGGGTCAGTCGAGACGAGTTCAAGTGTTATTGATATTAGGGATTCCAGTCCTGAAATTCCAGATGCTGAAGTGGAAAAAAACTCAAGTAAAAGGTGTGTGTTCTGTGTTACGTCCTGAATTAGGCAATATTGACTTTTTTATTTTAATAATTCAAACAGTTGAAGGATTGCTGCATTTAATCATCATTGTGCCTCAACGTTCCTCTCATATTAAACTGATTTATAAATTCATTAAAGGAACGAAACAAATGTCAGTTCGCGCTTACATTATCGAAGTAATTTCAATACATTCTGGAGAGAAGCAAAAAATACTAAATATCTGGCAGACCACCGTCTGGCTACATATCATGATCGGATTTCACTTCGGGATCGTCGAGTCAAGGAACTACAGTTGGAAAAACGTTTAATGTAATACTTTTAGTTATTTTGATCACCAGTCGTTTTGTCTGTCGCTTTTTGCAATTCTATAGTAAGATTTATTTTCAGGGGTGAAGCTCGATGTGATGATGAATTAAGTTTAGAAGAACAATTGCGAAGAAAGCTGACTCTAACTGGATATATTTTTCGTCCGAGGAAAACGAGAGATGAATTTCCGGGTATATAATTCAATATTTATCTACATATTGGCAGTTTTGGACGATAAAAATTAACATTCATTCAAATGAAATTATTAGACAAAAAACTGAAAAATCGCGTTTTCAGAACTTGATATTGAAGCTATGTCACTAGTAGAATATGCTTGGGATAGAAATTTACCTCTAAATGAGAAATTGTCTGGTGAAATAACACGGAAAGATTTGTTGACTTTGAAAGGATTGGATTGGCTTAATGATGAAGTGATCAACTGTTTCATGAATCTCATTTGTGAGCGAGCGCAAAGGGATTCAGATTTACCAAAAGTGATTTCTTGAATTGTTTCAAATTCTAGTTCTCTAAAATTTATTGTTTGTTTATGTAGATTGAAAAACCAAAAACTGCCATTCTGTTTTATTTTTAATTTTTATTTATTATTACCATTTCATTCTTATGTGCTTGGTTGACAAAAAATATGTATTTGTTTTTTAGGTATACGCATTTAGCACGTTTTTTTACCCCACTCTAAATGGTAAAGGATTTTCATCAGTAAAACGATGGACACGTAAAATCGACATATTTGCGCAAGAGATGTTATTATTTCCTATTCACTTGGGTGCTCATTGGTGCCTTGCGGTATTTTTTTAAACAATTTTTCTCGCATCGTTAGTTTCATGCATCATGATTTGAAGCGGAATTATTTTTGCATTAACTAGTTTTCAGACTGTGGATTTTGCAAAGAAATTAATTGAATATTTTGATTCAATGGGTA